GTACTTTTTTTGGGGGGGGGATTATTGCAGCTACTTTCTTAGTTTTATTTAGTTATATATGTATATATTATTAATTTATTTTTACTGACATTATTGAATATAATTATTTCTGTACATGTATTGCAACATTAATATTCATTATGAAATATTTTTGTTTATTTATAACATTTGATTTATTTGTATATTCATTATAGGGTTTTTGCTTGATGCAATAAATAGAATATCTACAGTCATCGTACTGAAGTCACCTATTTTTTAAATTCATTTATTTACCACCCTCATCGGTCACAATAACATGACCCTCTCAATAGGCTATATCTATATTGGAATACAAAAGGTTATGTGCACTGCTGAGAAACAAAATTTAATGTTTTAATTTCATTTTCAGCAAGATTTACTGAATTTTCTGATTTATCAATATACCAATTTGAGTTTATTGTGACACAGAATTATTACAGTGTTTCACCAAAAACGTATATTGCACAGTTGCATTATAAATACTAAAATTATCCTACATTATATTCTGCAGCAAAGGATCCAAACCATGATACTAACTAGAAAACAACCCCACACACATTTCACCAAACTGTATTGAATTAAAGACACAATAGAGAAATGTGTAAAATGTGAGATATATTTACCTTGCCCACTTCAGTAGACCCTGTGAATGATATACTTGCAGACATTGGGTGAGTACACATCACATGACCAAGAGCTGCAGCATTGCTTCGTGAACTTGTGATGACATTGAATACACCCGCAGGAAAGCCTGCTTCTTCAGTTAGCTGAAATAAGTCAAATTATGAAGTATAAAATGATAGAAATATTATTAATTTGGACATTTTTAACATCAATCACGTATACATAAAGGTCATTGTTTTCAATACGAACCCCATAACAACATACTGTAACAGTGAATCGCTTTCATTTTTCGAGACAAATTGTCTTGAGTCATTGAAAGTTTCTCAGTCGTACTACAACATGGCATGTGTCAGAAACTTGCAAAATAGTGTTTTTACAAATGCCATGAAATCATCAAATTGTGATAATTTAATTCTAGCAGCGAAAAATTAAACAGTTTACAACACATGAAAAACAAGCATTGATAATGCATAGTCCCCATTCAGTATTAGCTGTAGTCGATGTAAATGTTGAGTACAAGTGACATGTAGAAATGAAAGATCAATGTTTTTTTAACACGGATTATAGATTGTGTTACTGTCAGTATAGTACCTACGTTGAAACTTTGAACTGAATTGGACTATATCTTACAGAGGAAATTGCATGAAAGAAAAAAAACGCAGCCAGTCGGGTATTCTTGTTCAAGTATCTCCAAAATAAATATGGCTTGCACCATAACTTGATTGATGTCTGCAATAGGCATGATAACATACAAAGTTTGATTGAAAATGCCCTATTCAACTTTGAATCACCCTGTTCAGCTCCAAGAAACAGTTCCGGACATGTTACAGAATGATATTTTACGTTTTTTTGACAAAATGACCACCATTTCGACAAATTTAATCAATTGCGACTAATAATGTTTCAAATGAATGTTTTCATGAACTATTTGAATATGTAAAAGGTACTATTGCAGATAGGATAGCTCTA